CAAGAGTTGACTGCAGAGTCAACATTGCCCCTCTTGTAAGTCAATCAGAGGAAGAGAAAAAAATCCAGGGTGAATCAAATATCCCTGCTCCTACTCCATACTGGACTGGTCAGTGCAGAGAGTTGAAAAGGGAAGAGAAAAGAAGCTGGATGTGACGCTGCCTTCACTTTCCTCTCAGAAACAGGAATAGGATTTCCCTTCCTTTAGGGTAACAGGAGGATAATTATCCCGCTGGACAACTAATGCCATATCATCAATACTTTAGCAAATCTAACAGTCCATTCCTAACCTAAAAATCTGTCATATTAACATTTTCATCTGGTTCAGTTTCCAAGCTGCTGTTCTTCATGTGACAGGGTTAGGGCAGTGGGGTACATGGTGACAGAACTAGATTCAATTGATTTATATGTCAAACCATTAATGCTATGATTTCTAGGTCAGTGACAAGGAATACTTCGAGAGGTTTTCATAAACAAATAAACCTCGCACAATCTTTCAGTGCAGTTGAATCTGCAGAGAGGTTAACCAAAATATCTTCGTAAAATGTACTTTGTTTGCCATGACTTCTGTTGAGTGAGACGTGCCTGCCTGCTTCACTGGCTGATTCTAAGTTCTATAAATGTATTTAAAGAGATTCATAACAATAAAGTAACTTAATGATGTATAGATCAAGAGATTCAGTTTTACAAGTTGTGTTTTGCTTTTTAGAATTTTGGGTCCTCCACCTGGAATGTTCTCCATGATTGAAGACTGCAAAAGATTGGAAACAACTTTTGAGATTATCTAAGAAAAAGCTTCCATTTTTATATGAGGACACTAAAATCCAGATTTATCCAAGGTTATTTCTCAGATGTTAATAACAAGCCCAAGATGAAAACAAAGCTTTCAGATCCCAATCCTTTGCTCTATTATGTCCCGTTGACATTAGATCCTACACCAGCCCCATTGCTTCATGAAACCTTCTGTGACCTCTAGTAATTTCACTGTTATGAACCTGCTACCTGGTATCCATAAAGTAGCACTCGTCATTTGGTTGAAAGCTCTTCACTGTCCCTCCAATTATGATGCCTTAACCATATACTTCTAAAGAGATAATTATCTCTTAAGGACAGCAGTCCATCATTGATGTTTTTCTTGACTATTCCACAATATAGAGAAAAATCATGTGTTCTATTTTCCCCTTCTATATCCTTTCTCCTTCAGTGAAGTCAATTTTTCTCTTTGACACCACAATCTCACTGTCCTCACCAGCACTGATTTTCATATTTGTAACTTTTCCAACAATAGAAGTACACTACATGGTATGTTATACACACACATACACATACACTATACGTTATACATGGTATCCTACCATCTCCAATGACCTTCACTATTAACCAACCTTAAGCCTCAAGATAACATCAGTATATCCATATAGCAGATGGTCCTATTACTTAGAAAAGTTCTAATTTCTTGACCACCATGTGCTGAATTTCCAGTTCTGAAGGCATTTTGTTATACTTACACATCTTTGACTTTGTCATTCACCTCCACAAAATCTGCCTTTGTCAATTCTTCTTTCCCGTAAGTTGAGTCTCTTTCATTTTCATCTTAACATCTTATCCTGATAGTGTGACCTAATATTCTATTACCTCTCTTACTTGAAACTATAAACTTAGAAAAAGAGAGTCTATATGAACTCCCTTCATTTGCTTGATCTTTTGCAATCTAACTTCTTCACCTTGATCTCTTGAAATCTAAATTCTTCACCTTGATCTTTTGCAACCTAAATTCTTCAGCTCTCTGCTAAGACCACAAGTGGCCTGTTGACAGATCAGTAAGCATTTTCTGCAACTTCTTTCCTCCCGCTCTCTCTGAGAAACACTGCTGACCACTCTTTCCCTTTGGCTTCCTTCTTCCTTGAATTCTCCATCATTGCATCTTCTTCTTCTTTTCCTACCTTTTCCATTTGTTATTGTCTCTTTCACTAACTTGTATTCTACTCCTTAAATCATATCAGTCCCCAAATTATTCCAGTCATCAATACATATGTAAATAAAACTAGTTGGCCACAGCCACCAGTATGACTAATGTATGTTATATATTCAACTCAAGTAGCAAAATTTTCTTACCCCTAGGGTGTGCCACACATAAAAGTCTCCATTTCCCTAATGACAATCTAATCCTCTCAGCTCAGGAAGCTGAAAAGTTCCAAACTGCCTTCTTTACCTTATTCTGTAAATCCAATCAGGTTAGTTATATTTCAATTTCTTTTTCACAGATGCCTCTTTAGCATAGTTCATCTTTTCCTTTATTGTAATGCCCTAGTGCTTATGGATCTTCCAAAGGGAAAAGTGGGATATAAATCTAAAAATCAGTTTCAATACACAATAATATATAATATGGGATAGGGCAATAGAAAAGGCCAGTTGTCTCTAACTGGTTGTCCAAATGAGAAGTCTAACACAAATGTGTTGTTTGGCCAAAAGAACATGTTTACAGTACTGAGTCAACTTCCCATAGAGAATTTAAATATAAACCAAACTCTCTGGTAACATCGGTATCTATAGTTATCCACTGGATTTGACTTGCAATAACCTCCTTAGACATTTACTCAACCATGGTCCTTATCTTTGCCTAGCTTCACTCAATTTTTCATACTAACCTTCCTCTACCTATCCATGCTTCTTGGTACCAAAAAGCTTGTAAATTCTCTTAAAGCCATTGCTATGGTTTTTGATGTTAAGAATATTAACAGTTCAACATACATCCTTGACTCCTAATATTGTATCTGACACACTCAAAATTTGGAGAAAGTTTTTGAGGTTCCTATTATAAGGAAATGTACAAAGGTACACAGACAAAGTAGGATTTAAATTCAGTCTGAAGAAAACAGATTGATTTGATTAACATGCAAAAAGGAAGAAAGCAATATTTGAAGCAAAATGCATCCTAAATTTTAATCCCAAATTGTATAGTTATTTGATTAATCTTAGGCAATTTACTTAACTTCTCTGGGCCTCTGTTTCCTTATTAGTAGAACTAGCATAACATTATGTATGTCATAGTGCTGCTATGAGAAATAACTGATATAAATTATGAGCAGGATTAACAGACCAGTTGTTAACAAAAAAGCCTCCCTAAGTTAAGAAGCTGGCAGATGCATAGAAAGTCTGGGCAGAGTGAGTAGCCCAGTTAGACTGGAGAACACGCTTCACAGAATAAAATGGCAACAGACAAGATGGAGACAAAAAGACAAACCAAATCCAAATATCATTTCTCTCTCCATCCAACTCAAGGCTTAACGCTTAAAGCTTTACTGAATTCATAGGAGAATGTGACAAAAGTCAAGGATTGTGAAGTAGTCCTTATTCAGTAGAAAGTGCGTGAATTTGACATGAGTTTTAATCTCAGATCCAGTGCTTACTAGTTAGTAAGTGAAACTGAGCTAGTTTGTTAACTATTCTAAGTCTCAATTATCTTATTTATAAAACGAGGATGTAATAGGTTATGTTGTAATGCAGGATGATGGTAAATATAAACAAGTAACATGTGCAAAGCATTGTGCTAGGCACAAGGTGGACACTCAGTAAATCTTTCTCTAGTCTGTACTATGGACACCACGGCCACGTATCCACTTCTGCCCCTTTCTTTATTCTCCTCTTTGCCTCTCCCTACGTTTTCTCTGCCATTTACTTCACTGGGCTCTTTTGTCTCCCGGTCTATATCTGTGCTTCCAACCAGTGTTTACTGAGATTAATCTTATTCAGAAGTGTTTATTGTAATTTAGGCGCTGTGAAAATTCCACTAGTTTTAAACACAACTACCTATCCTCCCTGTGGAGGTAATTCAAATTCATATGCATGTTTGAGTGATGTGCCTTCCGGGTAAATCAGTTTGCAAAGTATATCAGCTTGAAAGTAAACAAAGCCACATTGTAGACCAACATATGCTCGCATGACCTGTAGTTCCAAAGTGACTGTGTGAGTACAGCATAGGCAGTGACCAAGAAATCTGGGGTAGGTATCACCAGACTGCCAGGAAGCCCCAGAGCACAATGGCAAAAACGAAAGTTGGTGTAAAGCCAGCTACATTCTTCGATCCATTAATCCCATTTCAAACAGTTTAGCCTGGGGAAATAATTATGAACATGCACAACAGTTCAACTAAAAGATATTGTAAGTCTTGTTTACAACACTGTAAAAGTAAAACAAATCTTAACATTTGAAAATAGATTAACTGGATTTTGGTTTATCCACGTAAACTATTATTAAATGATGTCACAGAAAGCCATCTATTAACATAGAAAGGTGAACAGCTCTATTAATAACTGAGAGGACAGGTGTGCCAAGCAAAATGCATGGATGAACCCATGTTTGTGAATAATAAAAAAGACTAGAAGGCTAGTAAGATATTGATTTACTGAATTATGAATTAAGAATTTTTACTAGGTTTTTTCCATGTACTACTTTTACAGCAAGAAGAAATGGCAAACACACCACACACACACACACACACACACACACACACACACACACACACGTTTTCTGAGTGGAGACATAATAGCTAGCTAAAAGACAGTAATTACCTAGATAAATAATAGAGAAAGAAGGAAAAGGAGAGAGGAAGACAAGGAGGGAGAGAGGAGAAAAAAGCAAAAAAGGAAAAGAAATGAAAGATTCTTACGTGCGCAAAACACATAGATCCTGATGTCTTTCAAAACACTTAGGGGCGAAAGAAAACAAAACCGCTAAGGGACGTCAGGGGTGGAGGGCGGACAGCTATTCTGGAGGCTGAGACGAGATCAAACTTAGCTGTTTTGCAAGACCCTGTCTCAAAATTACGCATTTAAAGACTGGGGCCCAGCATGAGGCTGCGAGTACAGCTCCCCCAGTACCGCCGTCGACACTCACATATACACACGTGCACACACACGTGCAAATGAACGAGCCCCACGCTGGGTCAAGGGTCAAGCTTTGGCGCCTGGCTGAGCCTGTCGTCCCTGCTGCCCCCTTCAGGTGGACGCTCACGGCAACATTCTCCTCAGCACCCTGGAAATCAGGAACGAGACCAGCGGCTCCGAAGTGCTGACGGGCGTGAGCGACCCCAAGGCCACCATGTACTCCTACGACAGCGCCAGCATCCAGTACCGCAAGCCCATGAGCAGCCGCGAGGGCTACGGGCGCGCCCTGGAGCGGCACGGCGTGCCCAGCAAGGGGCGCATCCGCAGGCGCGCATCGCAGCTCAAAGTCAAAATCCCCGACTTGACTGACGTCAATTCCATAGACAAGTGGTCCCGAATGTTCTTCCCCATCACCTTTTCTCTTTTTAACGTCGTTTATTGGCTCTACTACGTACACTAATGTCTGTCTTAACGGTTCGATTTAGACTTGTTTCCTCTCCTCTTGGTTTTAACCCCGCAGGTCCCCAACAGCGACACTGCTGTGTCTTTCGAGGTAAGAGATGCAGCCATCCCATTGATTTTAGGTCTTGTGTACTGACTTTATTAATGCACCGTGTTTACTTCGAGAAAAACAAAACAAAACCAACGACAACTGATTTTTTCCAGTCTACTGTGGTCCAGGTTATCAGCTCTTGACAGAGCTCTATTAATTGCCATGTTTACAAACATAGACAAAGAAGGCAGATAGGTAGATCTTTAGCAGTCTTCCCTAGTTCCCCCGGATTTTACTGATTTACTTTTTAAATGAAAACAAAAAAGAGGACCTTGCTGAACCTCTGCATTTCTTCCTGGTAAACTGAAACAATCTCACGTGCCAAAACAACCAAAACCAAAACGAAAACAAAAAATCAAAAGTGCAACAAAACAAAGAAATTGCTACAGCCACAATTTCCAAGATCTCAGAAGACAAAAAAAAAAAAAAAAAAAAAAAAAAAGCCATTGATAATTATAGATTTCCAGGAAGAGGGGAAAGCCAAAGGGAGCTTCCTAGTCCCTTTGTTCTTAAATTCCCCCAGAACCCTTGTAGAGGGGATCTGGGTTCCATGTATGAGGAGAGAGGATTTGGCAAGAGTGGGTCACGGCTGCTCACACTCAGCCCTCACCTTCCCCTCACCAGAGCCTGATTTCCTTAGAAATGCTTCTTTCTCAGAAGTCCCCACAGATGTACAATGAAGGTTAGAACTCGGTCTGGTAAAACTGACAGCCATTGAGAATGTTTTTCTTTTCTTCTTGAGAATAAAGGGTTGGGGCGGAGGGTTAGCGACACTTTCTTACTGAACATTTCCAGTGAGAAGCCCTGAATTCATTTCAGGAGTCTGAAATCCTTTGGGGTTGGGCTATGAAGCCATCCTATGACATTTCCACAGTTCCTTCTCCAGAGAGATAAAAGATTTGTGAGATAAGGTGAGCAGACCTTTGAAGGAGGGGAAGGGAAGCAATTTTTGCTTAAGAAAAATGTTGCTCTTTCTGTAAGGAAGGCAAGATGCATGTTCTGTGAAAGGGTGCCTATGCAGTTATCTGAACTGCTGGATCTCAAATCAAATAGAATATGTTCCTAGCCTTCCAGATAGTAGTATCTGAAGGTGACAGGCTCATCCCACAGGCCTCGGCTGACACATTGTGGGTCTGCTCTCCGAACTCTGCATTCCAAGCTATGGAATGAATGGCTGGGGAAGTGTACGCTCACTCGTATGGGTATGGTTCTCCTCCAAGGTCCAAAACCAGATAAAAACAACAGCAGTGACAAAAGCACTGGGCTTTCAAGCATGTGCACCAGCCCCCAAAACTGCAGAACCTGCCACACTCATAATCACTGTCATTCTTGCTCTGGGTCTTCGTTGTCCTGACCTTCATTCAATAGTATATGTAACACATTTCTAAATATGTCCAACCAGCTGCAGTTGAAGTTTTTCCTATTTTATGTCATTTAAATCTCATTTTTTCCATTTGTATATCTGAAACTTCTGTATATTCATTTGCAAGGTTGACTGAGAAACCTACATTGACCAACAGAAATGTGATTTGGCACCTGATCCGTGAATGTGACACAGAGTTGAGGTATTACTAGGGAAAATTGTCTCATTTGGTGAGCTGACTTTCTCCCTAAATTTGTGGGGAGGGTTTACAAATAGAACATAAACTACTGGAAATTATGGTCATAATTGGAAAGATAAGACTGAATTTCTACTGATGAGCCCAGAGAGTGTTATGATATATTCTTTTAGAAAGTAAGAGGAAAGGGAAACTCTCAAATAAATAGGGATGGCTGAATCATATACATTAATAATAATACAAAACACCATTTTAACTAGAAAAAAAAATGATCTCAATGGTTTCATGAGGAATTAGTAGAGTTATGGGGATCAGACTTTTAATTCAGGTTTTCAGTTGTTGTGAACACACTTCCATGGTCAAAGTAATCCCTAGCCTATGGGAAAGAAGACATCTACTTTGAAATTCTGTTCAATTCTTTGGCAGGGTGAGATGCTTTGCCATTGTAAAATGCCCAAATAGGATAGAATGTGGTCATGTCAGTGATTGTAAGGTATTAATACTCCTAATGACCATCCAGGAATCACTGTGTAGCCATTTATTTTAAATATAGGAAGAAACATTTCTGACTGGTGCCTAACAGAAATGACTAATTCTGATGTCGAAGCTCTTTAAGATGCTTTTAGTGAGAAAATGTTAAATCAGAAAGTAAGTATCCATAATCTTTGCTCCTTAACAAAACAATTTATCTGCTTAGATCATTCTTCTTGGAAAAGATTGAAGTAATTTGTACTTTCATTGTTATCTCTGTCTTACTTTTGAAAAGCTAAAGTATTTTTTCCTGTCGTTTTACACGTAAAACATCTTCTGAAAACAAGAGAGAGAATATTTTGAACTGTTATATTTTAACCTTTGTAAAATGTAAAGTTAAAACTGAATCTACCCATGGGACACAAAGCAGTATCTTCCTCTCAGCAGTATGGGGATCACAGCCACAATTATGCATATTTTATCAGACAGCTTTAATTTTAGAGGCAACAGCAACCAGGTGAACAGAGACATTTCTGTGTTCGTGGCTAATGACCTCTGTTCCCAGTTCCTTCTTTTGCACACTTTCCAGACCAATCCTTCCCTTCTTGGCTCTCCTCTTGGCTAAATCTGTCCCTCCAAGGTTGAGCAAAGCATGGGGAAAATTTTTTTCTTCTCTGGCTGTCTGGCCTTGACTTGCCCAAAATGGTGTACATAAAACAATTGTGAACCATTCTTAAATGCCTTCATAGTGGTTCCTATTCTTTAAATATTCCAATTATTACATTATACAAGGGTTATTACTTAATTACTCTTGGATTGCTTTCTTTTTGCCATGAAAATAGCCATAATCCCCTGTATTACTAAAGTGGCAAAAGAGATTGAAAACTCCACAGCCTCACAGTCACGTCCAGGGAACCCCACGCTCACAGTTCATCAACTGTGACGCCAACTGTGTAGATTTAACATGTGCAGATGCAGCAGAAATCCCATCTTTCACTTGACAGTGGGGACTATCCACTTATTCCTTCTATACATGTTATTTGGCTTAAAATTCACAGAGATGACATGCATGTTACGCTTACCAATTCTGTGAATCAAAGACCCAGGTAAAGACCTATTTGAGCCTGAATTATCCAGAATTATTGCCTGCATCTTCTCCTTCACCAAAACAAAAGAACAGCCCGGTTGGTTCGTCTGCCTATTGAATGACCTGTGTTTCCATACACACCATTTTTATTGTGCATTACAATCAATAGAGGATCTTGAAAATGCAAACAGAAAAATATGGTGCAGACCTTAAATTTGGCTTTTTTTTTTTGAGGTATTATGCACAATACATAGAAATACGGACTAAATTCCATCTTTCTAAAATTCAATGACTATTTTATAAATATTCATTTAGGAAAGAGCTCAATGATGATCTGCCAAGTTAAACAAACAAAGTTGTGTATAATACTTCTGGAAGGACGTGATCACCAAAATTTCTTATATGGACAATTTTGACTAGTACCTTACCAAACAGTGATGTGTCACCATTTCTTTTCCTAACTAAAGTATAATCATATGTCCCAGAAGGGAGACAAAAGGAAAATTCAAGCATGAGTTCAAGCTAGTGCAAATCATCAGGTTGCTGAAATAAACAGCAAAATAAACAAACATATATTTCCTGAAAGCCAGCAGAAAACAAAAAGCAAAATTTGTTAATGGAAACCGAATGTAGATTATTGTGTAAACTTCCTTGTAAATTCTGTACATAGTTCATTGAACTGTTCCCTGTGGCGTGGTGGTCCTCAGCTTTGGGTGGATGTTTGAAAAATCTGAACATTGTAAATAACGTAAGCTTATAAAGCATCTGTTTTTATTCACGAAGTGAAATGACTAGTGATTTGGGCCCAAACCAGAACCTTTTCAGCTCTTGCTCTTTTTCTGCCGTCGTGTGTGTGCAGTTGTGTAATCCTGCCCTAAGCCATAGCCAGGTATCTGTGGTCACTGCCTCACGCTCCTCCACCACCGTAAGGGACAGCAGCTGCCAAAGGCCGCAAGCCTGTGGGACCCAGGAGCAGCGCACCAGCAGAAACGGGACCTGGGCCCAGCTGCTCTTTGAACCATGTTGTGAAAAGTAGATGTGTTCCTATCAGTCACTGTGGCTTCATCCCTTCAGACACTGATTACTCATGCCATTGAGGGGTCAGGAATGGAAGAGCTGCTTGAAATTTATAGGTGATCCAAAGCTTCATTTGTGCCAGTAGTTTTAGATTCTCCTTCTCCTCTACCGTATTTTCCAGAATTTCTTTCACAAGAATAAAAACAAATTGGAGGGATGACCTGATCCCTTCAAATGACCAAATCATAGGAAGGAGCAAAGGACCATACGGTAAATGGCCTCATACCAGTAACTGGCTGATTGATCCCCAAAAGATCCGGAGGTAACCATGCCATTATTGTTTAAAGAGAAGTACAGTATTGGTATAAACTAACTAGTAGTTAAAAATGACAAGGATTTTTCAACTGGGGACAGTTGCTAGTTAAGCTTTATTAAAGAGAGTCTGGTAATTTAATGTGCTATAATGTACTTTCCCCTAGTATTGATTTTCCTGAGAAAATCTACAGAACGTAGAACATTGTGCCATAAGATGTGTTTCCATGAAAACTGGCAGTCTCGAAAAGGGTGATGGTATCTATAGAAATTCTGAATATCCAAGCAATTGGGACAGAAACTGTTTTATTAGTACTGTGTTTAAAAGAACAATGCTTTTCTCGATGTAAGGCATTAGTAACATGGGAATATATGCTAACATTTTAAGACCTACGAGTGTATACACAGGGAACCATGATGGCTCCACAATATGTGTTTAGGATCTACCATCAACTGAATTTTTTAAAAAATGACTTGTTTGAAGTAATGAAAATTGTCAATTTCTAGTTCCAGAACACACTGTGCTTTTGTTTTAATCAAACATTTTTAGACAATTGAAATCAACTAAACTAATAGAAAACTTAATTGCTGAAGACTACAATTACACAAGCAAGCATTTGAAAAGAATTGTTTTCAATAAAAGAATTGAGAACAAGAAAACACTAAGCTCCTAGAAAGGTAAAGATGAAGAGTTTTTTGTTTCTTTTACTTTTTTTAATAGCAAGAATTTCCATTTGTATTGAAGGGATCTAACAGTTGTTTGGGTCTTCTTGTTCTTTTGCATAATTAAAAAAACTCACTGGTATGTCAAGATATTCAATATTTCTGATTAAGCCCTAAGTCCCCTACATATCCTGGACTCATCTCTAAAGCTAAAGTAGGATCAGTGTGGGAAAATTAGGTATATTTCTGAACCACTTGGGAAAGAGAATGATTCTCTTGTACACTCTACTTGTACTTCTTGTCCTACAGACAATCAAAAAAATCAATAATCAATAAAGGAGAGAACAAAGAGCATTATTCATTTGCCTTAGGAATACAGGGTCATAAAGTAAATGACTTTAAGGAGTCCCATTCAAAAGCCAAAGTGTGAACCAGAGCAACCTGCATCACTGCCTGCCTCTTGCTTCTTCCTGGGTTTCCTCTGAAGGGAAACAGGGAAGAGGAGACATTCTCAATGTAATTTTATATATACAAATTATTAAACTCTGACGCGTGTGTGCATTTTGCAATTTTGGTTTGTGTAAAATAGATGATCTCTTCTGTCTTCACGCTTCCCCCGACACTGTGTGTCGTCTGCCTTGTGTTAGCCCAACACAGTGGATTCACTTTCCCTCTCATTTCCAATCCTCAAAAGCCCTGTTGCTCAAAAACAGCTGAAAGCTTTGACATCTGAGACACGCAGTGTATATCTCTAGTTTAATTCAAAACAATGAATTTTAGTGATCGTTGTATAATTCCTTATTACAGCCTTTTAAAGGTCTTCAGAGGGAAGTTGTGTAGTCACCACAGTCGCCACTGAAGTGCCTCCAGTTATTTTCATCTTCTGTTTCTCTGTTCCTTATGTAAAAGCACATGTGTCTACATGAAACTCTTCCCATCTCATTTAGGACACAGTGGAAATAAAATCAGTACATCAACCTGTGAAGATTTACATTTTTTAATCAGAATTTGAAATCCACTCTGTACTAGTTCTTCTCCACCAAACTTATCTACCCATGCTCTCCTTCAGTCTGGACTGTGCACCATTTGAAACGTTGTTAGTGTTCCTCTTAGAAGAACTTATCGTTCAAGTAGCACATCCCTGATTACAGATAATCCTGTTGGAACTGGTCCCAGTGTATCCTTTCTGTACCTTATTCCTACTACAAAGCATCTATTTCAGTGTATGATTTTACTCACTCCTCCTCAGCCTTCTAAAAACATTAAATACAGTTGGCAATGGCATAGGTCCTAATGCAACCTGTCTAAATTACCACCATAAAATTATGTAGAACCACTCTTTCCTTGAGACAGCATTTCTATAGATTTAAAAAACTGGTGGTTCTCTAAACACTTATGAAACAATAGGCCGTCTAACATTGGGAGGCTAACAAAAATGAGTTACATGGTCAGGAGAGGGAAATGCAGGGCACAGACTGGGAACCTGATCCTACCACTGCCTAGGCATGTGACTCGGGCATGCACCAGCTGACTTCTAAGTTATCTTTCAGAACTGAGTTTCAAAAGTGATGTTAGGGAGTTTATTTATTTACATAGGAGGTTAACAGAAAAAGTGTAGGAGTACCATGGTCTCTGCTAATGTAGTCCCTAATTGTAATCTTTGTTGCATGACTTTCATAGTAAGTCATCTGGTATAAGGTGAAATGAATCTGGGACTTGTTCATATTCTTTGTATCAAATATATAGTTATACAGGCAAATAGCAAAACTTATGACTATGTTATTATAATTTTATATGCTATAATATTTCCTTTTAAGACCATCTTTATGAGCCTAATATAAATCAATGTGATCTTGACTCTAACTTTAGATCTCTAAAAGATGTAGATGTCCTTAAACCACTCTCTGAGATTCAGTCAAACTGCCATGAAACATTTCCTTGTGGATGGGAAGCCAACTTCCAGGCAGCATCTGAGCCCAAGCGAGGTAGTACCATAGTGTCACTCTCAGGCCTGGAACACACCCTTGTCTTGTCCTGAAAGCAGAGCATCATATTTGGTTGAGCCTTCAGTCAAGAAGTAGCTTCCCATCCAGCTGGAAAAGATTCTATACTTCTAGAGCCTCTGTGAGCCCCGCTTCTTTCTCTGCCATTCCATCTATTTAACCAGTTAATTCTGCCAAATATTTCAGGTATGGCAATGTCAAAATGAAAGTTTGCTTACTGAATTATGATTAGCCTTCCTGGCTATTCATATTATCCACGCATGCCTCCTGCCCAATCTCACCCCAGAAATGGTCCCCAACATAATTTCTGCAAACTGATGTTTCTAGCGAACTTTTTCTTTTTAAAGAAACTGCCCATCTGGAGAAACTCCAAACGGCCTCCTTTCAATTGTTAGGAGAGTGCCTACAAATTCCTCCTTTCCATAGTAGCCCAATCTATGAAAGGAACAGTTTCTTTCCTTTTTTTTTTTTTCTAAACTGGCTTAGTCTCGTGCCCCTGAAACTCAGCGTCTTACAGACTCATTTCCAACCTCCTCAGTGCAAATGAAGTTATTGCTGCTTTTCAAGTAGTTCACTGCCTTCTTTTTCCATTTCTTAACCTTTTTACCTAGAGAGGATTTCATGCTTAATGGTTTCATTCTGAAGCAGAGAAAGCACCCATCAGATTGTTAAATTTTGAGCAAGTTAAGATTAAAATTTACTAATATGTATAGTAAATTAAGATTGAATCAGGTACAAGTTACAAAATATGCAACTTAAAGGAAATTATGATCAAAATATTATCTCATAACAATTATTTCAGAAGGAAGATAGTTTCAGGTTACTTATTTTAACAACACAAGAATGATTTCATCAAGGACCTGTGGCCTTTCCATAACCCACCTCCCTTCTGCCTGTAATCAGCACCTATTACAGTTACAACATGGTTCTAAACACAGCCCTCCTCACACTCACAGAGAAACACAGTATGTTTTGGTTGGATCATTTTATAAGCAAGGAAATCTTTCCTTTGCATACACCCACAAAACTTTGTTTTTTGCTCCACTGGTCATTCCTAAGCCAATCACTGACAGAAGGAATGGAATTACCATGGATAATTTACAACAATGATGGCTAGAGTCATCCATTGTTTGAAAAAAAAATACTCAAAAGGAGGAAGAATAGCTGTCAGGTGGATGTTCAAAACTGACCATCACATATTGGTCTAGTGTGTCAAAAAATACTTTCTCACATGTAATTTAATCACTTGATCTTCATTACAATGACAATAACAATATCAGGAAATAGAAGTTTAAATATGGTAGATGATATACCTAACATTAGAAAGCTAGTTGCTAAAGGAGTTAATGTTAATTCCTAGCTTTTCTTGAGTCCAAAAGCAAACCTTTTTCCACTCCATCATGTTGTCTAGATTTAATTCTTTTTGGATGATGATTTGTTTTTGGGTAGTTCCAAAATGAGTAGAGAGTGGAAAGGAAGAGGACAGTCCCTCTCCCAGAAGCTGAATGTCACTCCCAATATTCTGTATACTCTGTATTTAGTTTTATGTTTGTTTTTCCTTTTCCTCCATCCCTTCCACAAAAACCTTTCATTATTCTTGAGAAAAAGTGTAGAAGGAATGCTTGACTCACAGCAGAGTGTCTCAGTTTCTTTAGGTAGACATCACTGTCAGGGGACCATATGACCCCATTTGCCTAAGACAATCCCAGCATGTAATCATTAAGCTCCTTTTTTTGTTCTCAAAGTGTCCAATTGAATAATAAACTAAATATCCATTCTAATTATAG